GATCCAAAACCCAAATAAATCTGTTTTACTCTGTATAAAGCTTATACAGGGTAAACTCATAAATTGTCCACCCTCTATAACACTGATAGAGAGATATGCATAGATGTTTGCTCCCCCAGGTATTAATCACTTACTCTGGATTCAATAATAAACAAAAGTGATTTTATTGAGACTAAAAATTAGGATTTAAGTGGTTCCAAGTAATAACAGACAGAACAAAATAAGTCACCAAGTAAAATAAAGCAAAAACACACAAGTCTAAGCCTAATACATTAAGAAACTGAATACAGGTAAATCTCACCCTCAGAGATGTTCCAATAAACTTCTTTCACAGACTAGACTCCTTCCTAGTCTGGGCCCAGTCCTTTCCCCTGGTACAGACCTTCTTAGTTCCAGCAGGCATCTCAGGTGAAAAACAGGGGATTCAACATGACTGGGACCCCCTTTGTTCTGCTCCACCCCCTTTAATAGCTTTGGCACATGGTGGGAATCCTTTGTCTCTCTCTGGGTTCCCACCCCTCCTTCTAAATGGAAAAGCACCAGGTTAAAGATGGATTCCAGTTCAGGTGATATGATCATATGTTCTGTTAGACTTCATTACCCAGTCACTGGCACACATGTATACAGGAAGTCTTACAAGTAAACAGAGCCATTTACAACCAATTGTCCTGGTTAATGGGAGCCATCACGATTCCAAACCACCATTAATGGCCCACACGTCGCATAATGACAATAGGACCTCAGAGTTATATTTCATATTCCTAGTTTCAGATTCAAGAATGATACATTCATACAAATAGGATGACCACACTCAGATATTAAGCTTTGTAATGATACCTCACAAGGGATGTTTTGCATAAAGCATATTCCAGTTACATCATTTCCACACTTATAAACATATTTTTATAAAAATATAGAGTGCAATGCCACAGAGCCACTCCCCCTAACGGACTACATGGGGCAACATTGTGTGTGGGGAAGGGACACAGGGAAAGAAGAGAACAGTTAAGATTTTATGAAAACAAGTAGAAAATTTCCCTGACTCCATATACTTTGACAGAGAGAGTTTAATAACTGCTTCCATAGATGTTATAAGTGTCCCTCTAGCTGTTAAAATTCTTCCGTTGTCAGCAAAGTGGCTAGACATATGGGCTCACTACAAGTTAATAGAGCTGCAGTTAGAAGCTATGAGTTCAAATACACACAGGTGGGGGCTGCTTTATGAAGGGAAGCATATTAGTGCACTAAGTACTCTTCAGGATTCACAGCCAAGGTTTATAGAATTCTAAGAAGAATATCAGGAAAATGTTTTGTGAAGGGAGATGATATTTCTATGAGAAGCCATGGCACATTAAATGATGTTATTCAAACACTATTGTTAGAATGGCATGTTTTCAAAGAAGCAAGAGTGAGTTCTCTTAAAACCCAATATCCATTGCTGCTTCTCACAATAGCAAAAGTACTTATCTAGAAAGAAAATTTACCTCATAATATTTCAAACATTTCAGCCTGGTGTTAATTCAAGAAAACAGTCTTTTAACCAAAGAAAATGAAAAAGTACAGATATAATATGCATTATGAGTTATTTAAACAGAGCAGCCACTTAGCTTTTCTATGAAGATTTTTTCCCACCGACCACATAATTAACTCAAAATTTAAGAGTATTTACATATTTCTGCATTATACCAAAATAATATTTTTTCCAGACTATATATATTATATATATAAAAATGAATCAACACATTTGAAGGCAAGCAACTTTGACCAAGAGAATTTTACATGGATGGAAGGTCACATCTTTATTCCTATTGTCTAACTCACAAATCCAGAAGACAGATCCAAATCTTACAATGCATCCTAATTGTTCGAGGACTTCTTAAATTAATATGCACTTGGCCTTTCAAATCAAAATCTATGTAAAGAACACTATTAAAAATGCTGAGCCTATTCATAGAGCCTGAGAGATACTACATATTTTGCTTTGCATGTCTCTAAGAACCACGATCACTATTATCAAGTAATAATTTGCTAATAGTTATCACACACAGGTACGTGATACACAACAGTTTTTTCCTCATACTTGGGGTATGTCTGTACAGCAAAAGCTGTGCACAGGCTAGCCTGTCTGATGTAGACTGAATCCAGCTAGCACAAGTAAAAACATCAGTGAAGACACCACAGCACATGCTTCAACACAGGTATTAAAAATGCAACACAGATCCTGACTCATGAGTAGGGCCCTACCAAATTCACAGCCATGAAAAACGTATCACGGACCATGAAATCTGGTCTTCCCCCATGAACTCTGGTCTTTTGTGTGCTTTTACCCTATATTATACAGATTTCACAGGGGAAACCAGCGTTTCTCAAATTGGTGGTCCTGACCCAAAAGGTAGTTGCAGGGGGGTTGCAAGGTTATTTTAAGGCGGGTCACGATATTACCACCCTTAATTCTGCCTTCAGAGTTGGGCAACTGGAAAGTGGCAGCTATTGGCCAGACACCCACCTCTGAAGGCAGTGCCTTACCAGCAGCAACACAGAAGTAAGGGTGGCCGTACTACAACCCTCCTACAATAACCTTGTGACACCTCCACACACACACTCCTTTTTGGGTCAGGATCCTTAAAATTACAAAAGCTGTGGATTTTCAGATTTTTAAAGCTGAAATCATGAAATTTACGATTTTATAAATCCTATGACCGTGAAATTGACCAAAATGGACTGTGAATTTGGTAGGGCCCTACTCATGAGCACACTCTGAAGCCCACATTGCAATGTCTTCACTGCTATTATCACCTGCCCTAGCTAGATTCAAGTAGGCTAGCCTGTGCATAGCTTTCATTGTGTAGGCCAGGGATACTTGGACTGAGGCTTGCAAGCCACAAGTGGCTCTTTAATGTGTCTCCTGTGGCTCTCTGCAGCACATGATATTAAAACACTGTGTGATTTAATTATTACCCAATCTAAGTGTTTAGCCAATCAGATGCTTTTACTATGTTACTAAACAATTGTAGTTTTGCTGTAGAATTTTATATTTTTATACATATATACACACACTAAATATTTAAAGAAGAATATATAGTACTATAGTAAATGAAACAATGAATTCACACTACTGTTGCTCTTTTGGATAATGTTGATTGCTAATTTTGACTCTGAACAACAGACATCTGAGTATCACAGGTGTAGACAAATCCTTAGAATAACTGAATGGTAAACTTAGCCTTTTAATGACACCCATGGTATGGGACTTTCCTACAAGGCTGACTCAGTACAGCAACAATATATCTCATTACTAAGGAAGCTAAATAGTATACTAATTAAATGAGATTTTTTTTAAATGCTCAAGTTACAGTTTTTGTATAATCAAAAATTTCTGCCGGCCCTGCTTAGAGCCAGACCTAATAGCACTCTAGCGTTTAGAATGAACATTACAAGATAAATGAGTGCCAATGTGCCCCTGTGGTATGGATGTGGGCCTGAAAGCCAGGAGCTCCTGAATTCTAGTCTTGGCTCTGTCACTGATTCAATGTGTGCCCTCAACCAATTTAGCCATGACTTAACTTCTCCCTGCTTCAGTTTCACCATATGTAAAATGGTGATAATACTCACTTCTGAACCTATACACAAGTGCTGTGCAGCTTTGATAATGCTTCTAACATATATGAAGAGATATAGTGATACATTAATATTAATTTGAAAAGTCTGTTAGCTGGCAAGGGAAGGGGCAGTTTGCAAAGCTTCCAGCAGTTGGGGGAAAAATCTGGAGGTGGGTCTGACCCAGCCCCAGATGCCATGCAGGTTAAGAGGAAGTCTTGTCAGCAGCTGAGCCCGATGCAGGGAAGGAGCCATCAGCCAGGTCTTCCCCAATCCTGTCCCTTGCCCCACAGCGATTTACCTCTCTGCTGGCTGCCCTGGGCACCCATAACATACTGCTGGGGAAGGTCGCATGACTGTTCTTGTGGCTTCCCTTTGCTTTCCCATCAGAAAGTCATTTTTCTTTGGGAAATCAAAGAAATCTGCGGTGGACATAAATTCTGCACATGCGCAGTGATGCAGAATCCCCCCAGGAGTAACACTATGTACTGTAGCTGGAAAATAGACTACTAGTATTCAGGCTTAATAAAGGAGCAAAGCCACACCAGCAATACATGGAGAAATTCCTTTTAAGTCAAGGGAAGTTTCATGCATGGCTCACCTGGTGTCTCTGGCCCTAATACAGCAGATACAGTAATCATAGATAAATAGACAATAAAAGAAAAGGAAAATAAAATTTCAAATATGCAAGCTGCCTTTCTTGCTTTTTGTTCCCTTTGACAATGGGATCAGGCCAGCCATTTCTCAAAATTTTGTGTGGCCAGAAAACTTGAACCAAATGTAGCATCAAATGAAAACAAGAACGTTACCAAGAAAGTTAATTTTAAAAGAAAATCAACTCAAGAAGCCTTCTCTTAATTTATTTAACACATTTTTATTTCTGAAGAGAGACAATGATCTAACTCAGAATTTATTTTGGTAGGGCTCTCTCTGTTTTCGAGCACCAATTAGGTAAGTTTTGAAGAAGCTGATGCTACGCTATAGGAAATATTTACATTTACAAACTGTGTTGAATAATCCTTCAGAGTCATTTATGGAAAAGTTCTTAAAGGTAGTCCTTGAAGTTCATGTGTTATTAAACAGGGTTATTCACACACAGATACCATAAGAATTCTTAAAATGTTGAATGATTAATCTATAAAACTCACCATCAGTTTTTGGCAATGGAAATTTTAGACAACAGAAGAGTTGAGACCATCCACAATTTCAGATGTAGTCAATAGCAGCCGCAAATGCTCACTACCTCTAAAAGTCACTCCCAGAATAATTTGCTAATATTATTCCACAGGTTCCCAACATGTCACATGTACAACAATCATTTCTTAGATGGAGTAAATGGTGTGAAACACAACACTTGTTTCTACACACGGTGGAATAAAAAACACTGTTCTCACTGTACCTACCACATACAGCTGTTTCCAGAGGATAGCCCATTCCTGGAGCGTTGCTGTGACTTCAGTCACAACAGAATCTTCAAGTGGAACTACTGTTTCATACTGTCTGTAAAACAGAAAAATACTGTTTACAAAGGCTCTCATGAAAAGGTAGAAATCAATATAAATGACCTGAAATCCATGTAAGCAATATATATAGAAAAGAACAATTATTACAACATGCTCTCCAAAAACTGGCCAATCAATCAGACTGCCTTTCCAGGGGCTCTAAATTGAGCTCTGAAGCCCATAGGAATGTTTACATTGTTTTCTTTTTTTTATCAAATTTACCTTGTGACACAAAGACATTATTATTATTTATATTACAGCCAATTAAAGAAAAATAGGTACTTTGCATTTCTAATGTCTATAGTCTATTAAATGTTAAACACTTCTAAGAATTTTTAAACACAATATTCTAGCAATAGCCCTCTATTATGCTGAACACATTACATATCTTCAGGAAGTAGAACAACTGTCACTCCATTATCTCCTGCAAGGAACCTGCAAAGAGAGGGAGTATTTCCTAATTATATGAGAGCACTATTTAATTATCATTCTAGTAAAGTTCAATATTAGAGTCTTTCTGATTATGATGTGCTAATATCCCTTATGCGCCATCCTATGCCCATCCCACAGCCAAAGTAACCAGGTTGTGCCTGGGGAGTTCCACAGGAATGAAGTGTCTCCTCAAGACTATGCTGATCCTCTCCCCTATGTTCAGCACTCTGGCCAACAAATCCATTACTCTATGGATCCACTAGTTATGCACCTTCCTCAGCCCCGAGACCCTTTAAAGCAGTGGGTTACAAAGTCTCTGTGTGGGCTTCCTGTCCACCAACTAAGGAGAAGAATCACACTAGTTCCACTGTGTTCAGGGTCTTCCACACCCATAGAAGGAGAAGCAGGATTCCTCCACACCATCTGAGCACACGGTATGGTAATAATATAATGTGATTTAGTGTAATAATCTGCTTTTTATATTATTGGAGCCATCAGTTCCTTTACTTGGCCTTTTAAATGGAACAAATACAAATGCTAGGTATCGTACAACAACTAGCAAGAACTATGGAAGTAAAGTGTATCTCAAGCTTCTACTATTCTAGCAATTAAAAAACAAAAAACAAAAATAATCTGTGACAGGCATCAGTGTTTCTGAAATATCAAGTGCTAGATTGTCGAATTTATTCACAGATCTGAGTAGAGGAGTGATGTAGGAGCTACACTGACTCTAAAGAAGCTCCAGGAGAAACTGCTTCAGGAGGCACAATCCCAGCACTGCAAAGAACACTAGAGGCGTGCACTCACTGCCCTTCCTCTTGGATGATACATATTTCTCCCTGCTCTCTGAACCTAGCCAGCTCTGTGAGCTTTTGCGGTGGGTAGGGCCATGGTTTCACCTACTCCTCACCAAATTTAGGCTACTTGCTGTTCCCCCCCTTATGCAGGGTGTGAAAGAGAGAGAAAGAAAGCAGTCATTTCCCCCCTCACCTTCCCCTTGTGTACTCATGCTAGCTCCAAATAAATAACAGAAATTGAAGATTTATCTAAATAAAAGACTGCATTTTTTACATGTAAAACCAAATTCTCAAAACAAACTTTCATTTGGTTTTCCCATCATCTTTGCAACATTTAATTTTAATCCATTTATCCAGGAGTTTTATAATTGTGCCTCACTACAAACTAAAGCTAATGTTAGAAAATGGTTACAATATTGAGTCAATATGTATTTCTCTAAATACTCAGTGTGATGCTCTGTACTCGGGGGTACACCCTACACCCCCATGTTAATCTTTATAAAATGATTGTGTGGTATCCAATGCAAAGTTTGTCATGTTGGGTGTCTTCAGAAGGCTCATAATGCACTGAGCATGGTTGTTATAGTGATGTTATAGTAATTGTTACAGTAATGTTATAGTAAGGTTATAGATTATAATTTCATGTATCTAGTTACGAGGCTGAAAATGTATCCTCATGGCTTAAAGCAAGCCCATGCAAAAACTCTCCAAGAACAGAGAGGCAGTTCACACCTTGTCAGGGCATGGATGGTACAAACCTAGGACAGCCTCACAGGAACAATGGACACTGGCTTAGGCAGCAACAAAAGAATCTGTTAAACCCTTGAGGGAGTCACCCCCCTCCTTTGGGCATTTGGCACTGCAATGAGGTAATGCTCCCTGAAGGGGAGGGCGGGAAACAAAGTCAAGAGGAAAGAAAGGACATGATAAAAGGGAGAGACATTTTGCCATTCTCTCTCTCTTCCACCTACATCTACAGACACCACCACGACCAAGTGACTGAACCACTGATCAAAGGGGAGAGCCTGGCTGAAGACCCAGCCTGTGGTGAGACGCATCTAAGTTTTAAGGATACTGAAAGTGTTAAGATCAGCTTAGAATGCGTTTTGCTTTTATTTCATTTGACCAAATCTGACTTGTTATGCTTTGACTTATAATCACTTAAATCTACCTTTATAGTTAATAAATCTGTTTGTTTATTCTACCTGAAGCAGTGCATTTGGTTTGCAGTGTGTCAGAGACTCCCCTTGGGAGAACAAGCCTGGTACATATCAATTTCTCTGTTAAATTGATGAATTTATATAAGCTTGCAGCGTCTAGTTGGCATAATTGGACACTGCAAGATGAAGGTTCCTAGGATTGTTTCTGGGACCGGAGATATTGTCCAGTGTCATTCACTTGCAAGTAGCTGGGAGAAGCTTACATGCCAGAGGCTGTGTGTGAACAGCGCAGGAGTAGGGGTTCTCACTGCAGATTTTGCCACCAATGAATTAAAGGAGGCCGATGTACCTTACAGCAGTGGTTGGTGCACACAGTGATCAACAAATGTCTGCAAAGACTGATACAATTTTTAATGCCAGATGAAGGTGTGAGATGACCAGGTAATCACCTCACAAATTTATGAGGCAGATGCTTATGCCTTACGACCCAAGAAGTTGTCAACCTCTTATTTAATGGCATTTAACAATTTTGGATGTGGCCATTTGGCCTAGTCATTATAGTGGAGTGGTAGCTTTCCTACAGTTAAAGTGGAGGATGGCTTACTGTTTAAAAGATGACTATATTAAGTACTCTAAAGTCCACATGCTGGTTCAGTTGGTCTTGCAGTTTGCCGTAAATCATAGGGAGTGCAAGGAGCACAGGGTTAGTGGTACAATTATGAGGTCATTTGAGAGAGGGGTTTTTGAGGTACAACTCCACCTAAAAAAATGTGTTTATAAAACATGGTTCTTATAACTTTTTTTAAATAAAACTATGGCTCTGTTCCCCCCAAATTGGTATCATCCTTTGGGATTTATCTCAGCTATTGATCAGCAACGACTGCCCCTTTGAAGAAGTAATAGTGAAAAGATACTGAGGACAGAATCTGTTACTCCAATATGGAGTAAAAGGATTAACTAAGAGAGTGAAATGTACATGGTGACATACTGTGGCCACTGAAACTGAGCTATACTGAAGTACTATAAGTTTGAGCTCTATCCTTACCAGCTTTCGTGGAATGTGTGTTTTACTTGTTCATTGCCTGCAGGGGCTGCTTTTCGATACTTTGATCTGAGATCAAAAGTTTTGGTTTAAGAGCAATATTTTAAAATGCTCAAAAATCAACATGTACATCCTGATTTTAGATTTATTTTATTTATTTATTTTTACTTTAGTAGTATTATCAAGGAAAATAGCTGTGATTAAATAAAGGGGAGATGAAAGACTAGTAAACAAGGTAATACAATCATGACTCATGTTTAAAGCTAAGATTTTGTCACAGCTATTTTTACTAAAAGTCATGGACAGGTCACAGGCAATAATGAAAAATTCATGGAAGCCTGTGACCTGTCTCTGACTTTTACTAAAAATATCCATGACAAAATGAGGCACCTGGGAAGCTGTGGGAAGGCTGGGAGCTCCAGGGTCCCCCTCCACTGGAAGCTTCAAGCTGTGGGGGTCCCCCCTGCCACTGCGGTAGCGGGGGTATCCCACAGCTCCCTGCCTTTGCAGGCGGCGGAGAACCCTGCAGCTCCCAGCCAGCGCTGACTGAAGTCATGGCGGTCTTTGGAAATCACAAAATCCGTGACTTCCATGACCTCCACGACTAAATTGCAGCCTTATTCATGTTCAACCATTTCCTATGTGACTTAGTGAGATCAAAGCAAAGCAAGTCACTGGGTCAACTGGTCAAGGGGTTAAATTATACCTAGCCCTTCTAACATGAACTGCTCATCACATTTTCAGATTCTCATAACTTTTTGGTGCAGACTTGGAAAAAGAGGGAGAATTTCAGGGGGTGTTGGTGTACAGCACTGTAAATCCATACCTCCTCCATTTCTGTCCCCTTCTTCAAAGCTTGCCCTCACTGACTCCATTTCACACTGTGCACCATTCATGCATCTTCTGCCTATCTCTTGTGAACATATCAGTCCTGGAAGGGGTCATGGAATTCAGCGTGAGGAAAAGACCACACAGTTATCATGACCGCCTCCTCCTGAATCACTGGCACCTCAAAGGAACTCTCCCCATTTTCCTTCTGCTGTGGTGTGGCCTGAAAGAAACTGCCTGTTCTGCATGGGGAGATGAAGCACGGTGGCATTTTACTTGGCTTTTCCCCCACAGGAGGCTCCATATGGAGAAGACAAAAGAGCAAAATCTCTGTATCTGAGAACTCATGTACAAGGGACCCACAATGGGGGACTAAAGAGTAGACTTTCATCCAGCACAGTGCTTGTAGCTCCCAGCTGGCTTGTCTTTTACCTGCTTTACATTCTGTAGATTAAGGCAGTAGAGGATCCAAAATGGCATTTCAGCATGATACACTAGCTGTTTCTTTGGTCTGAGTCAAGGAATGATGGGGGAGCCTAGAAAGGGAGGAGCTGGGAACAAAAATTCCCGTATCCTAATTGGACACCATGTGTCTGATGGACCAAATACACAAACACCCATCTATCTGTACCAATGGTGATCATGCCCCAGGTAAATAATGTGTATAACTCTGCACTGGCTTTTGTATGAATTCCTTGATTTTAAAGGTTTGCATGGGTATATCTGAAGGAAGAACAGGGACCTGAGAGTCTTGTAATTAATAATCCCATTCTTAATGTGTTTGAAAAGTTCATATTTGCCTCTGACAAATTATTTTCTATAGTCCATTTATCATTTTAGTGTACCTTCAGGATCCTTGTTAAAGAAGTTTCTTTATCAGCCTATAAAACACTTAGAATAATGTTGCTTTTTATGTGGAACCGAGATCTTAAACAGTAAGTCAAAGATCAGATCAGTGGCTTGCACTGAAAATGTACACCAAATGGAGAATCAAAATGATTGCCTGTTGGCAACAACTTGAGAACTGGGAATCAGGAAAGCTGAAAATCATCTAGTTTCTGTTGGGCTCTTCGTAAAATGTCACTGAACTACAAAAGAGGGGTTGAAAAATAACCCAGTATACATTAAAGAAATCTTCTGGAGGTAGAAAAAAACCCAGACAATATTGTCTTACGTGAGAATAGGTAAATAATAATTTCACTGAATCTAAAGAAAACTTTTCCTAAAGATTCTTTTTAGAAAATGGTTTGCAAGCTTCTTTCATTACTGACAAGAAAGTACATTCTGCTAGATTAACTCTAACCTTCAAGTATGTGGTTGAATTTAAAGAGAGTGCATAACAGGATTACAGTTAAACCATTGAAGCATCATGGCTCAGATTCCTATAAGCTTGCATTCTTCTATACACTACGTCTACACTTTCAATGAAATGTCATGTTGTGTCTGCCTAAATCTTAAATTGGTCAAATGTCCTGCTGTACAATTTAATAAAGGTCTTTACTGGTCTACTTTATAACATCATAAACATTTTTTTTAACCTGTAAATTGCATTTCTTCAATGGACAAGGTCAGACTCTAAATAGATAGGTTTTCACGTACGTCACACTTGAACAAGCATGAGTAACTAAAGTTTAAATTCCAGTGCAGGTTGTCTTGAGGCTCCCTTTAGCTTCCCCAGCCTTGAATGCCAGAATGTTTCTAATGAAATACACTTACAAGCTGGGCATTGAAAGAAACTAAGCTAAAGTTAAGTTTTGCTTAAGCTAAGCTAAGTTTTGGACACTGTTTCTGTATCCCTTGATTGTTTTGCCCTGCACTCATACAGTTCCTCAATATGCCAGAGCAGTTCTTCACAGCAATGATCTCCAGCATCTCTGTAGCTCAGTCTTAGTTGCTAACGCCTCATGGAAGCAAGGAGATGTTGCCTTCAATGGTTCATACGCCAATTTTGCTGATTTGTGGGTCACTGATCTCATTTCAGAGTGGTAGCCGTGTTAGTCTGTATCAGCAAAAACAATGAGGAGTCCTTGTGGCACATTAGCGATTAACACATTTATTTGGGCTTTTGTGGGCTAGAACCCACTTCATTCACAAAAGCTTATGCCCATATAAATGTGTTAGTCTCTAAGGTGCGACAAGGACTCCTCGTTGTTTTTACTGATCTCATTGTTTCCTTCGGAAGTTTATATTTCTTTGGTACATAACACCACCTAATGCACAGATTTTTTTTCAGCCTGTAATGGTTCAATAGCCTGATACTTACTTTGAAATGTCAAATCCCCCTTCTAAGTTATTAGCTTAGTTACTGTCTCTTGAAACATGTAATGTCAACAAAATATTGCATGAAAGGGGTCATAGAACAGCAAGGCCTTCTGTTCCCAAGTTTTGACTGTGTACAGCTGATCAAATTTTTTAAAGATGTGCCCTGAGTTATTGTATATTAATATCAAACTCTGCTCCTAGATGACAATACCTAGACTTCATCATCAGGACACTCTTTTACACACACAAAGTAAAATTTTCAAAAGTGTCTGCCTAAGTCCCTTTTGAAAAAAAGGGGGACTTTGGATCTTTGATGCTTTTAAAAATGATACTCCTAGTTCAATTTTCAAAAGTAACTTAAGCACTTAGGAGGCTAAGAATCATTAGAAGTAATTGAAGGTCTGATCATAGCAAAATAAGAGGTGCTAGCTGCATATCTGTGCTTCCTTAGCATACTATAATCAATCAAAGTGAGCCCATGTAAGTTAGAGAACAGTGAGTAGGGAGTGTGAATGGTTTCTTAAAAGTGTACATATTACTGATGACATCATCCATATGTTACTTTTCCAGTGCACAACCAGAGGAGTGTAAACACAGTCATTTTTGTTCTTCCAATATTAAAAATACAATTGGGACATTGACAAATGGAGGACAGAACCCCACAGAATGACATTTGATTTTCAAGGTTCAAAGAGTATCATTAGGACCCTACCAAACTTACAGTCCATTTTGATCAATTTCACTCTCACAGGATTTTTAAAATCATAAATTTCATGATTTCAGCTATTTAAATCTGAAATTTCATGGTGTTGTAATTGTAGGAGTCGTGACCCAAAAAGGAGTTGGGGGTGGGGGTGGTCACAAGGTTATTGTATGGGGGGTTGTAATATGCTACTCTTACTTCTGTGCTGCTGCAGGTAGCAGCGGTGCTGCCTTCAGAGCTGGGCAGCTGGAGCGTGGCAGCTGCTAGCTGGGAGCCCAGATTTGAAGGCAGAGCCACCACCAGCAACAGCACAGAAGTAAGGATGGCATGGTATGGTATTGACACCCTTACTTCTGTGCTGCTGCCTGCAGAGCTGGGTCCTCAGTCAGCAGCCGCCACTCTCCAGCCACCCAGCTCTGAAGGCAGCAAAGCAGAAATGAGGGTGGCATGGTATGGTACTGCCATCCTTACTTCTGCATCACTCCTGGCGGGGCGCTACCTTCAGAGCTGGGCCCCTGCAAACAGCCGCTGCTCTCCAGCCACCCAGCTCTGAAGACAGCGCAGAAGAAAGGGTGGCAATACTGCAACCCCCCTAAAATAACCTTCCAACCTCCCTGCAACTCCCTTTTGGGTCAGGACCCCCAATTTGGGAAAGGCTGGTCTCTCCATGAAATCAGTATAGTATAGGGTAAAAGCACACAAAAGACTGGATTTCACGGCGAGAGACCAGATTTCACAGTCTGTGATGCATTTTTCATGGCTGTGAATTTGGTAGAGCCCTAAGTATCATACACAACAAGAAAGAAAAAATAATAAATTTGAGGGGGGGAGTTTTTGACAATCTCCCTTCAAAATTCCAACCAGATCATTTCTCAGATTCTCTCCATTTACACAAATGAGGCAACTTCTTAATAATCAAGAAAAATACTCACCCTCTGTTACTGACGATTGCCTTTTTCAAGTGAATATAGTTAGCAGGAAAGATCCCCTGCAAAAGAGAATAATAATTCCACTTGTCAGAAAAATACAATTATAGCTCTGAACAGTTTTCATTCTAACAAAATTAGCAAACATTTGATAATTGCCAACTTTCCAATTTCATCTATAGTGTGAAACAAGCTATCACTGTCAAAATCAATATTCAAATGATAGTAACATCAGATGGCTTCAATTTATCTCAGAATAGGACAGTATGTTGATTTGACAATTATGTAAGTTATATAACCGTTCATTCTTGGAAAAAAAAATTTCATTATGGGGAAGTTTTGTGAATGTATCCAACAAAAATATCACAGCAAACAGATCAAAACATCTGAAAGCACTGTAACTCTAAAAAGTAACTTTTAAAAATCATGAATTTTCTAGTTTGAAATAGAATACTGGGCTCCAACAATACTTTCTATTTTTTCCTCTTTGCTCTTTACAAGAGTTTCAATTTTTGCTGTTGAGTTAATTCAAAGCATATTTATGCTGTTATCTGTTGTGGTTTCTCTGACTGTCAAATTGTGGATTTAATCCTCAGAATTAAACTGCTTTCCTTCACACTCCACCCCTTGAAAATGTATCATCACTCTTTTTGTCCTCTAATCTTGACAATTCCTAAGTGGGGTACTTTGCATTTGTCCTTATTGAATTCCATCGTATTTACTTCAGACCAGTTAATCCAGATCATTTAGAATTTTAATCTTATCCTTCAAAGCACTTGCAACCCCTCCCAGCTTGGTATCATCTGCAAACTTTATAAGTGTACTCTCTATGCCGGGGGGGGGGGCAAACTTTTTTGCCCGAGGGCCACATCTGGGTGGGGAAATTGCATGCAGGGCCATGAATGTAAGGCTGGGGCAGGGGTGTGGGAGAGTGTGTGGGATGTGGTGCGGTGTGCAGGAAGGGGCTCAGGGCAAGGGGTTGGGGCAGAGGAGGGGCGCGGGGCATATGAGGGGGCTCAGGGAAGAGGGTTGGGGTGCAGGAGAGGGTGCAAGGTGCAGGGGGTTGGGGTGCAGGAGGGGTGCAGGGTGCAGCAGGGGCTCAGGGCAGGGAGTTGGGGAGTAGGGTGCAGGAGAGGTTCAGGGCCCAGGCTCCGGCCCAGTGCCATTTACCTGGAACAGCTCCAGGGTGGCAGTGGCACGCACTGGGCTCAGGGCAGGCTCCCTGCCTGCCTGCCCTGGCCCCGTGCCACTCCCAGAAGCAGCCAGCACCACGTCCCTGCGGCCCCTGGGGGAGGGGAAGCAGAGGGCTCCGTGCACTGCCCTTGCCTGTGGATACCTCCCCCGAAGCTCCCATTGGCTGCTGTTCCCCATTCCTGGCCAAGGGGAGCTGCAGGGGGCAGTGCCTGCAGGCGAGGGCAGCACACTGAGCCCTCTGCCCTCCCTCCCCCAGGGGCCGCAGGGACGTGGTGCTGGCTGCTTCTGGGAGCGGCGCGAGGCCCTCAGCACCATGGAGGTGGCAATCCTGCGGGCCAGATCCAAAGCTCTGACAGGCCAGATCCGGCCAGCAGCCATAGGTTGTCCACCTCTGCTCTAGGCCATTAACTAAAGCATGGATGAAGATATTGAACAGAACTAGACCAAGAACTTCCAGCATGACTGTGAACTACTGATAACTACTCTCTGGGAACAGTTTTCTGACCAGTTTTGCACCCACCTTATAGTAGCTCCATCTAGGTTGCATTTACCTAGTTTGTTTATGAGAAGGTCATGCGAGACAGTATCAAAAGATTTACAAACGTCAAGATATACCACATCTACCACTCCCCCCCCCTCCACAAGGCTTATTACCCTGTCAAAGTAAGCTATCAGGTTGGTTTGACACGATTTGTTCTTGACAAATCCATGCTGACTTATTTATCACCTTATTATGTTTGCAAATTGATTGCTTAATTATATGCTCCATTATCTTTCCGGGTACAGAAGTTAAGCTGACTGGTCTGTAATTCCCCAGGTTGTCCTTATTTCCCTTTTTATAGATTGGCACTATATTTGCCCTTTTCCAGTCTCCTGGAATCTCTCCTGTCTTCCATGACTTTTCAAAAATAATCGCTAATGGCTCAATATCTCCTCAGTCAGTTCCTTAAGTATTCAAGGATGTATTTCATCAGGCCCTGGTGACTTGAAAACATCTAATTTGTCTAAGTAATTTTTAACTTGTTCTTTCCCTATTTTACCCTCTTCTGATCCTACCTCATTCTCACTGGCATTCACTATGTTAGACATCCAATTACCACCAACATTCTTGGTGAAAACCGAAACAAAGAAGTCATTAAGCACCCCTGCCATTTCCACATTTCCTGTTATTGTTTTCCCCCCTCATTGAGTAATGGGCCTACCCTCTCCTTGGTCTTCCTCTTGCTTCTAATGTAACTGTAGAATGTTTTCTCGTTACCCTTTATGTCTCTAGCTAGTTTGATCTCCTTTTGTGCTTTGGCCTTTCTAATTTTGTCTGTACATACTTGTTATTTTTTTATATTCATCCTTTGTAATGTGACCTAATTTCCACTTTTTGTACCACTCTTTTTTGATTTTTAGATCATTGAAGATCTCCTGGTTAAGCCAGGGTGATCTCTTGCCACACTTCTTATCTTTCCTAAGCAGTGGGATAGTTTTCTTTTTTGCCCTTACTAACAGAGGCACCAACTTTCCTTGGCAGCGGTGGGTGCTTGCGCCCCCAGGCCCTGGCCCGACTCCGCCCCCTCCCTGCCCCTATTGGACCCCTCCCCAAATTCCTGCTCCAGCCCCGCCTCTTCCCCAAGCATGTCATGTTCCTCCTCCTCACCCCTCCCTCTGAGCACTTGCCGTGCAAAACAGCTGTTCTGCAGCGCAAGCACTGGGAGGGAGGCAGGAGAAGCAGGACGCAGCGGTGTGCTAAGGGGAGGCGGAAGCAAGCTTGGGTGGGGAGGTAGGGCGGGGAGCTGCCAGTCGGTGCAGAGCACCCACCAATTTTTCCCCGTGGGTGCTCCAGCCCCAGCGTACCCATGGAGTCAGTGCCTACACTTAATAATGTCTGTTGGGAAAAACTGCCAACTGTCTTCAATTGTTTTTCCCCTTAGACTTGCTTCCAATGGGATCTTACCTACGGAGTTCGCTAAAGTCTGCCTTCTTGAAATCCATTATCTTTATTTTGCTGTTTTCCCTCCTACCATTCCTTAGAATCATGAACTCTACCATTTCATGTCAGTAGGGGAACACTTCAATCTCCCTGGACATTCTATAACAGATTTAAAAAACAGCCATACTTCAAAAAAAAAAAAAAAAAGTCAAAAACAGACTTCAAAGAGAAACTGCAGAGCTACAATTCATTTGCAAATTTAACACCATTGATTTGTGCTTGAATAGGGACTGGAAGTGGCTGGCTCACTACGAAAGCAAATTTTCCCTCCCTTGATACTGACACCTCCTCATCATAGAATATTGGGGTTGGAAGAGACCTCAGGAGGTCATCTAGTCCGACCCCTGCTCAAAGCAGAATCAATCCCCAACTAAATCATCCCAGCCAGGGCTTTCTCAAGCCTGACCTTAAAAACCTCTAAGGAAGGAGATTCCACCACCTCCCTAGGTAACCCATTCCAGTGCTTCACCACCCTCCTAGTGAAAAAGTTTTTCCTAATATCCAACCTAAACTCCCGCACTGCAACCTGAGACCATTACTCCTTGTTCTGTCATCAGCTACCACTGAGAACAGTCTAGGTCCATGCTCTTTGGAAACCCCTTTCAGGTAGTTGATAGCAGTTATCAAATCCCCCCTCATTCTTCTCTTCTGCAGACTAAACAATCCCAGTTCCCTCAGCCTCTCCTCATAAGTCATCTGCTCCAGGCCCCTAATCATTTTTGTTGCCCCTTGCTGGACTCTTCTCAATTTTTCCACATCCTTCTTGTAGTGAGGGGCCCAAAACTGGACACAGTACTCCAGATGAGGCCTCACCAATGTCAAATAGAGGGGAACGATCACGTCCCTCGATCTGCTGACAATGCCCCTACTTATACAGCCCAAAATGCTATTAGCCTTCTTGGCAACAAGAGCACACTGTTGATTCATATCTAGCTTCTCGTCCACTATAACCCCTAGGTCCTTTTCTGCAGAACTGCTGCCTAGCCATTTGGTCCCTAGTCTGTAGCGGTGCATGGGATTCTTCCGTCCTAAGTGCAGGACTATGCACTTGTCCTTGTTGAAACTCATCAGATTTCTTTTGGCCCAATCCTCTAATTTGTCTAGGTCCCTCTGTATCCTACCAACCACTCCTCCCAGTTTAGTGTCATCTGAAAACTTGTTGAGGGTGCAGTCCACGCCATCCTCCAGATCATTAATGAAGTTATTGAACAAAACCAGCCCCAGGACAGACCCTTGGGGCACTCCGCTTGATACCGGTTGCCAACTAGACATGGAGCCATTGATCACTACTCGTTGAGCCTGACAATCTAGACAGCTTTCTATCAACCTTATAGTCCATTCATCCAGCCCATACTTCTTTAACTTGCGGGCAAGAACACTGTGGGAGACCGTATCAAAGTCTTTGCTAAAGTCAAGGAATAACACATCCACTGCTTTCCCCTCATCCACAGAGCCAGTTATCTCATCATAGAAGGCAATTAGATTAGTCAGGCATGACTTGCCCTTGGTGAATCCATGCTGACTGTTCCTGATCACTTTCCTCTCCTCTAAGTGCTTCAGAATTGATTCTTTGAGGACCTGCTCCATGACTTTTCCAGGGACCGAGGTAAGGCTGACTGGCCTGTAGTTCCCCAGATTCTCCTCCTTCAATTTTTTAAAGATGGCACTACATTAGCCTTTTTTTAGTCATCTGGGACCTCCCCCGATCGCCATGAGTTTTCAAAGATAATGGACAATGGCTCTGCAATCACATCCGCCAACTCCTTTAGCACCCTTGGATGCAGTGCATCCAGCCCCATGGACTTCAAGAATCAATCCTGAAGCACTTGCATGAGAGGAAAGTGATCAGGAACAGCCAGCATGGATTCACCAAGGGAAGGTCATGCC